AGACACTTAGCATAGAAATCAGAACAAGAGAGCAAGAGAGAGCTTAAGCTTTTTTAGTCAGAATCAGTGAGTTCGATTCTTGTTTTTAAGGGAATGGGGAAGGCGTTTAAATAGTACTCAACTAGGTAGATAAACAAGGTAATGAATCAGTCTTACACAAATAAGGAAGGGAAATAACTCTAAAATCAATTAAAATCGGAGTTCAATCAATTAACAGCATATAATCAGGCTAGTACTACTTAAATTAGGGAAAGCATTATACAAAATCAATCAGTAGTCAAGTACCAGATCAAATAAGGTAAGAAAATAATGAGAACAGGCAAATCGAACAAAATAAGGCAATATCAGTATCGTACAGGAGAAGAAAGACTGAAATCTTAGCAAAGATTTCAAAACCTTAATTTAGGGTGAGTAAAATTAGTCAACCAGTTAACGACAAGAGTTAAAGGTACGTAGAGACAGATAGACAGAAACATTAAAGGAAAATAATCAAATAATGAAAACCCTAAATTTAATGTAAGTAAAAATAGGCAGAAATACAAAGGAGCTTTAATAAAAATGCACAAAGACATATAGATGGAAATAATTAAAGTTCGACCGATATTTGTTTGATTTTGAAGAATCAAAAACCCTACATTTTAGGCTAAGTAAAAATCAGCGTAATTAACCAAAGGAAAACTATAATAAAGATGCACAGAATAGATATACAGAAGCATTAAAGGAAAATGTTCAACAGAAATAAGAAACATAACAAGCCTTAAAAGATCTGAGCCCTAATTTAGGGCAAATAAAATTGATAAAACGCACATAGATAGATATACGGGAATATTAAGAAAAAAATAGAAGAACTATAACAGATTTTGAAAAGATCCGAACCCTAGATGCGATTTTGAAGGGGGAACTCAACACCAAATTATAGGTTTGTACTCTTTAACTCATTTTCTTCCATTTCTAACATCACTCATTGAATTCCTAGCCCTAATCTTTGTTCTTTCATGGTAGAAAACTAGGAATTTAGGAAGAATTGGGAATTTTTTCAAATTGGGGATTTAGACCTCGATTTGAGGTCGAATTCCAAAACCAATTGTATATCCGGGCTCGGGGGTGAATGGATAAATGGATTTTGGTCCGAACCTCGAGTTTTGACCCAGCAGGCCCGAGGTCAATTTTTGACTTTTTGGGGAAAAGTTTGAGAAATTAAAATTTATGCATTGTAGTTGATTCCTTTAGCAATAATTGATGTTATTGAGTTAATTGTGGCTAGATATGAGTGGCTCGGAGGTGGATACTGGAGGAAAAGTGGTAATTAAGCATTGATTGGCCCGCGAAGTGAGGTAATTGTCGTGTCTAACTTTGGCTCAAGGGATTAGTAACCCTTGGCTTATTTGCTAAATGAAATCCATGTGAGCGATGTATAGGTGAGGTGACGAGTACCTATGCGCTGTCAATTTATCTATTTTGCCTGTTTTCTTCCTGTTCTTCTTATATTGTCTTTTCCTGCCTTAACTGTACATGCTTTACTTGTAATTCCATGCCTATTTGCTACTTGTTAAACATTGTATCTATTGTTGGATGTATTAGTTTTTTCATAGCTTCGTTGTCTCTTATTATTTGTTTGAGCTGGTTATTGGTACTTTCAAGGTATATTCTGGATTGGTCTCACTGAGTACTATTACTTGTGTAAAGTTTCATAGTATATAATCTTCTTAGATGTTTTGGTTAGAAGTTGAGCCTCATGAAGAGTTTGTGATTTGAATTGTATAATTTTTGTATTTGCTGAGTAAATGATATTGATATGGTGGGATCAGGTTGCGCGCCGCAACATGTGGAATAAGGGTGATATATTGAGGAGAAATAAGGGTGAAATGCTATGTACGGTGGGATTGTGGTGAATTAAGGGTGAACTGTGATTGTGATTATTGTGATATGGTGGGATCGGGTTGCACGCCGCAACAACCTTTATGTTCATATTTTTCCTTGACCGTGTTAGCTGAAATGGTAGTTTGAAACTGCACTTAAGGATTGGTAATAGCTTAGCACTGATGAGATGCTTTGAGAACTGTATTCACTCCTTGCAAGTTAGTGCTTTATTTCATCATGCCTTTCTTTCTGCTTTTATTATACACTGTATGCAGGTTATATTATAAATGCTCCGCCATAGCCTCGTCACTACCTCGTCGATGTTAGGCTTGGCACTTACCAGTACATGGGGTCAGTTGTACTGATACTGCACTCTGCACTTCTTGTGCAGATTTTGGAGCAGGTTCGTGCTGATTGAGAGGTTGGTTGTAGGATTCACTTGCATGGAGACCCAAGGTAGTCCGGTTGGAGTCCGCAGGCCCTGACGTCCCCTTCTATACCCCAAACTTTGTTGTTTTCCTTATTTCGTAAATATTTGTATTTTCTTTCGAACAAATGCTTGTAGTAAAAATCTTAGAATGTTCGTGGATTATGACACCAGATTCTAGGTAATAATGGTAATAGTATATAAACAAAAAGGCTATTTACTTACTTCCGCATTTATTTCCACTTGTTTTAGCTTGTTTGTTGTTAATCACTGAAACGTAAAGGGTTTGGCTAATAAAAACTCTAACGTTGGCTTGCCTAGCAAGTGTGATGTTAGGCGCCATTACGGTCCCGATGGTGGATATTCTGGGTCGTGACATAAAGTTCTTTAACTTTGTAGCCATGAATACTGTAGACGAAAAATTAAAAAATAAAATTAGTTAACTACATGCTAATCTAGGAACAAAAAGTTTATACTTAGATTGTAATTAGAGGCATATGATCTAAGATTAATTAATATTCAAATTAATGGAGAAATTCTTGCTTCCACGGACAAATTTTATCTTCCTTCTCTCTTTTTTCGCTTTTCTTTTTTTAGATTTATCGAAAGTTCTCATTTACATTGTAAACATAGAATCAAGAATTGAATATATACTATCATTAAGAATTGTGTTTTACCTAAATGAATGGATACTCACGCTGTTCAGATCCTTCGGTGAGGATTGCATCGACTTCTCGAACAAATGTACCATGTGAATTTGATCTCAAGAATATATACTTGCATATAAACTATATGCAGCCGATTTTTCATTTATTTAGGGAACCAAAAAGTTGCAACTTCATAGTGAACTATGTATCTATGGCTAAAAGTGTGGAGATTTCTTATAAATTTTGCACATTCAGTTCTACAGACCAATATAAATGATAACTGTAGCAGTAGGCTCTCTATCTACTCTAACGTTCACATTATTAGTAGTAGTATTCATTATTATACTTAATTATTCCTCTTTTCTACATTAAAATTAAAGATATTAATTACTCCTTTCTTGATTAAAATTCCTTGAGCTTTCTTTTCAAGGAGTAATTGAATTAGTTTATACTTTATCATCCAATGCACAGACATTTTTTTATATTTTAAAATAATGAAATTAATGTAAGTTTGATTATTGTACTTATTTATGAAGGTATAATTTTTTTTAAGGGTATTATAGTCACTTAAGTTTATAGGGTTATTTTGATCTTTCACATTCAACTTTTGATCTTTATGCTTATAATATAGTATGATATTCAACAAATCTGGTCTGAAGTCTAAAGTCTAAACTAATGAATGCGTGAAACTTGAATGTTTAGCTTATTCCTAAAGAAAATGAGATCAATTAGATTTTCGTTATAAATATATTATGTTATGGAGTTCATTTAGTATTCCGTTATGGATGAAAATTATCCCCGATAGAAGATTATTCATACCTGGTATAATAAGTTTATCCTTTCGATACTCCATTATGGATAAATATTACCCCCAATAGAAGATTATCCATACCTGGTACAATAAGATTATCCTTTCGGTACTCCATTATAGATAAACATTACTACCGGTAGAAGATTATCTATACCTAGTACAATAAGCTTATCCTTTCGGTACTCCATTATGGATAAACATTACTCCCTTTGAAGATTATTCATACCTGGTACAGTAGCATCTTATACAGCAGCTTGTTGTAGCAGCTTACACATCAACTTCATTTCTTCTGTAAATAAAGGAGATTTCAATTCATTATTTACATCAGTTTGAAGTTGAATAACATATCAATTTCTCTCTATACTTGTCTTTACTTTAGAGTATTTATTTTATAACACGTTATCAGCACGAGACACTGCCATCTCGAGCAAATACTTTGAAAGTATCAGAGGTACGAACTTTCTTTTTCTAAATAATGTCAAATCTTTTTAAACTTGAATTTGTAGCCCTGGATATATCGGGCAAAAGCTACATGTCTTGGGTGTTTGATGCTGAAATTCATCTTGATGCGATGGGTCTGGTAGACACTATTAAGGACAAAAACCAAGCATCAAACCAAGACCGTGCCAAAGCAATGATATTCCTATGCCATCACTTTGATGAAGGCTTGAAAATGGAATATCTCATTGCTAAAGATCCAATCATACTGTGGAATAATTTGAAAGGTAGATATGACCACCTGAAGATGGTCGTTCTTCCACAAACACGATATGATTGGACTCATTTAAGGCTACAAAATTTTAAATCTATCAGCAAGTATAATTCTGCTATATTGAGAACTATTTTTCACTTGAAATTATGTGGTGATAATATTACTGATCATGATATGTTGGAGAAAACTTTCACCACTTTTCATGCATTGAATATGCTCCTACAACAGCAATATCGAGAGATGGGATTCAAAAAGTATTCTTAACTTATCTCATATCTTCTTGTAGCCGAGCAACATAATGAGCTATTAGTGAAAAACCGTGAAAGCTGACCTACTGGTTCTTGTCTATTCCTCGAAGTGAATGAGACGAACATTCACCAAGCTAAGTATGGAAGAGGTCCTGGCCCCAGTCGTGGTCATGGCCGTGGTCGAGGAAGAAACTCTAATCATGGTAATAATAATGCATCAAAGAACCCTTCTCACTACCAGCAGTGAAAAGGAAGGAACAAAAGCATGAAGCGGTACAAGAAACAAATGCAGAAAATGTATGTTATAGATGTGAAGGAAAAAGGCACTGGTGACATATCTGTCGTACGCCAAAGTACCTGGTTGAGCTTTATCAAGCCTCTCTAAAGAAGACAAAGAAAAGTGCTGAAGCAAATTTTATTTCTGAAAATAATTTAGACCTCATGCATTTGAATGTAGCTGATTACTTTGCACTCCCAAAAGAAGAAACAAGTCATGTGATCGGTGATGAATTTGTAGAGATGTAAATATTTTAATTTTTATTGTTTGTAGTAGATAGTATGGTTATGTAATTATTGTACATAAATAAAAGTTGTACTTTGATAATGATATTTACTGTCATATTTATTTTGTTTATGTCATTTTGAAGAATATGGATAATCGTCAAATTATGTTTGGTTCAAAGACCAATCATGAAGATACTTGTGTAATTGCTAGTGGAACAACTCATGCCATATTCAAATATCAAAAATACTTTTCTTATTTGCATAAGGAAAAAGCAAATGTTTTAACAATTTTTGGTAAATAAGTATGATTAAAGGCTCCGGAAAAGCCATTATATTTCTGTCTAAGGGAACAAAACTTATTATAGACAATGCATTATTCTCCTCCAAGTCCCGAAGAAACTTGTTGAGTTTTATAGACATCCGCCGAAATGGGTATCATGTTGAGACGTTCGATAAAACGAGTATGGAATATCTTTGTATTACGAAGAATGTTTCTGGCCAAAAGTGCATTGTAGAAAAGTTACCAACTTTGTTTTCCGGCTTATACTATTCAGATATTAGTACAGTTGAAGCACAATCTATCGTAAACCAGAAGTTTACTGATTCAAATATTTTTTTGCTTTGGCATGGCCGTTTGGGCCATCTTGGATCAATAATGATGAGACGAATTACTGAACCTGAAGATTCTTACAAATAATGAATTTTCTTGTGATGCTTATTATAAAGGCAAAATGATCACTAGACATCAATGAAGGTTGGCATTGAATCCCCCTTTTTTAGAACGTGTACATGGGGATATATGTAGACCTATTTACCCACCAAGTGAGCTGTTTAATATTTTATGGTCCTAATAGATGTATCTTCAAGATGGTCTCATGTGTTCCTACAATCATCTCGCAACCTAATGTTTGCAAAGCTATTAGCCTAAATAATTCGATTAAGGGCATAATTCCCAGATTATCCTATAAAGGCTATTCGCCTTGATAATGTTGGAGAATTCTCATCTCATGCTTTTGATGATTATTGTCTATCGCTTGGGATAAAAATTGAACATCCTGTAGCTTATGTTCATCTCAAAATGGCCTTGCAGAGTCATTTATTAAACGTCTGCAACTGATAGCAAGACCACTATATATGAAAATAAATTGCCCTCTACTGTTTGGGGTCATGCTACCTTGCATGCAACATCACTTATCCGTCTCAGACCGACACATTATAATTAATATTCTCCGTCACAATTAGTTTTTGGTCATGAACCAAATATTGCCCATTTACGAATTTTTCAATATGTTGTATATATGCCAGTAGCACTACCACACCGCAGTAAGATGGGACCAAAGAGAAGGTTAGGATTATATGTTGAGTTTGAATCACCCTCTATTATTCGCTATCTTGAACCATTGACAAGAGATTTATTTAATGCTCGATTTGCAGATTGTCGGTTTGATGAAACAAATTTTCCACAATTAGGGGGAGAGAAAAAGGAAATCAAAAGAGACATTATGTGAAAAATTTTATCATTATCTCATTTTGATCCACGTACCCCTATATATAATCAGGAGGTCCAGAAGATCATCCATTTACAAAATATAGCAAATCAAATGCCAAACACGTTTACTGATTTGAAAAGGATAACTAAGTCACATATCCTTGCAGAGAATGTGCCTATCCGAATTGATGTCTTAGTAGAATCATCTACTAGCATGAGAGCTAGTGAATCTAAAGCACGCCTGAAGAGCGGTAGGCCTTTGGATTCTAAGGATCGCAATCCTCGAAAAAGAAAATCGATAAATGATCAAAATGATACTACGAAGGGATCTCCTTAAGAGACCCAAGATCTGATTAGTTCTGAGTCAATGAACCGGAGGCTCAAGTGAGTGAGGAACTTTTAATAAATTCTACCAGCAATGGGATTAATTTAAATCGATCTGAAATAGTGGTGGATAATAGTTTTGCATATAATGGTGCACTTAATATTATGCAAGATAGTGAGGATCTTGAAACCCGATCTATTGAAAAATGTCGGCAAAGATTTGATTGGCCAAAATGGCAAGAGACAATTCAGTCATAATTGAACGCACTTGCTAAAAGAAAGGTCTTGGGACCAGTAGTTCAAACACCTGCTAGTATAAAATCAGTTGGTCATAAATGGGTTTTTGTACGAAAAATGAATGATAAAAATAAAATTGAAAGATACAAAGCTCGCCTTGTCGCACAAGAATTCTCACAACGACCTGGAGTCGATTTTGATGACACATATCACCGGCTATGGATGCCATAACATTTCGATATCTCATCAATTTAGAATTATATGAAAAGATTGAAATACATCTAATGGATGCAGTTAGAACTTATCTGTACAGTTCACTTGATAATGAAATTTATATGAAAATCCCTGAAGGATTTAAAAAGCCTGAAGCAAATTTAAAATCTCAGAAAATATATTCAATTAGATTACAAAGATCTTTGTACGGTTTAAAGCAATCTGACCGCATGTGGTATAATTGCCTTAGTGAATATTTGCTAAAAGAGGGTCACATAAATGATATTATTTGTCCATATATTTTTATAAAGAAAATGACATCAGAATTTGTTATAATTGTAGTTTATGTTGATGACATAAATCTTGTTGGAACTCCAGAAGAGCTCCAAAAGGCAATTGAATATCTTAAGAAAGAATTTGAGATGAAAGATCTTGGAAAGACAAAACTTTGTCTTGGTCTGCAAATTGAACATTTAGCAGACAAAATCTTTATCCATTAATCTGTCTATACAGAAAGGGTCTTAAAATGCTTCTAGATGGAGAAAGCGCACTCATTAAGTACCAATGGTTGTCTGATCAATTGAAGTGAATAAGGATCTATTTCGACCTCCAGAAGAGGATGAGGGACTCCTTGGTCCTGAAATACCTTATCTTAGTGCAATTGGTACACTTATGTATCTTGTTAATGCTACAAGGCCTGACATAGCATTTTCTGTTAATTTACTAGCAAGATATAGCTCTTCTCCTACATGGAGACATTGGAACGGGATTAAGCATATATTGCGGAGATCCGTTCAAGTGACACTCCAGCAGATTTATTCACTAAATCTTTGCCAACTTCAACTTTTGAGAAGATGGTATACAAGATTCAAATGCGGAGACTCAAATATTTGAAACAGGTTTTTTATTAGGGGGAGTAAAATACGAGCTATACTCTTTTTCCCTTACTAAGGTTTTTCCCACAGGATTTTCCTTATAGGTTCTTAATGAGACAACTAGTTACGCGTGTTACTAAATATGTGTACTCTTTTTCCTTTACTAGAATTTTTTGCCACGAAATTTTTCCTAGTAAGGTTTTAATGAGGCACATTATCTTTTAATGAACATCGAAGGGGGAGTCTTATAAATATATTATATTTGATGTTCATTTAGTAATCCGTTGTGGATAAATATTACCCCCGGTAGAAGATTATCCATACCTGGTAAAATAAGCTTATCCTTTCAATACTCCATTATGGATAAACAGTACCCCCGGTAGAAGATTATTCATAATTGGTACAATAAGCTTATCCTTTCGATACTCCATTATGGATAAACAGTACCCCCGGTAGAAGATTATTCATAATTGGTACAATAAGCTTATCCTTTCGATACTCCATTATGGATAAACATTACCACCGGTAGAAGATTATCTATACCTGGTATAATAAGCTTATCCTTTCGGTACTTCATTATGGATAAACATTACCACCGGTAGAAGATTATTCATAATTGGTACAATAAGCTTATCCTTTCGGTACTTCATTATGGATAAACATTACCCCCGGTAGAAAATTATTCATACCTAGTATAGTAGCAGCTTACACAGCAGTATGGAGTAGCAGCTTACACAGCAGTATGGAGTAGCAGCTTACACAATAACTTCTTTTCTTCTATAAATAGAGGAGATTTTAGTTCATTATGTACATTAGTTTGAAGTTAAATAACATATCGGTTTCTCTCTATACTTGTCTTTACTTTACAGTATTTATTTTATAACAATTTTGGTCTTTTTCTTCTGTTTTTGGCTACATTTTCATGCACGATCCTTTGTGTTTTAGTTAGATTGCATAATATTTTAACTTTCATTCATCGATAATATCAAGCAGATCTTCGGACAATATTTTAGTTGAAATTGAGAAAATATATATATTTACAGTTGAAGTTGAACTTAAAGAGTTTGTGTAATTTGCATCTAGATCAGAAGTTCGCTTGAAATATACGTTTGTGAAAGTTATCATTTGTAGCTGAAAGCCAATATTTCATTCAAATGCACCTTTAAATCACTATTTCAATATTCACTTGAATTTGAAGTAACGCAGCTATTTGCAAATACTTATAGCGAAACTAGTATTTACTAAAAATGAAACTCAGTATTTGAAACATTTGAAAAAAATAAATTCATGGCCTCTTTTAAATTTTAAAAAAAATGTTTCTGCCTTATATTCCGCGCATACTCTGCAAAACATTATGGGTCTCTCCGAACTCTCAATTTGTCTTTTCCTGTTTCATTAATACCCAAAAATACTCCCACGAACTATAATAAGTGATTTTTTAATCTTTGGCACACCTCTTAAATACGATTTCTTATAGGAAAAAGATGTATTCACTAAATTACCCTTAATTAATTATTATCTTGACATATTAGGATATGTAAATAAGAGCAAACTTTGGAAAAATAAAATTAATTCCTTCTTGATGTGAAAAGACACTTATTTTGGACCAAAATAAAAAGGCCAACGGAGGAAGTAATAACCGAAGGATTACGTTGTCCGATTCAATTAAACGTAAAACAATGCACTTTTTATTATACAATTAAATTGCAAAATAAAAGTAGAGAAATTATAAAAAAGAGTGATGTATTATTCACTTTTAAATTACTGTCAAATGAATTTTTTACAGAAGAATGGAAGCTGTTAGCATATTAGGATAATAAGCTACTTGTAAGTGGACTTGAAGAAATTGCTCGTGAGCCTCTGAGATGATGTAGGCCATTACTTTCTGTAATCTGCTGGTGATGACCTTAGCAATAATCTTGTATAGCACTGTACAGCAAGAATAGACCTATAGTCTTTAACTGTATCTGGATTTGGAACCTTAGGCACCAGAGTAAGTGCAGTGCAGTTTATAGCTTTATACAAGGTTCCTGTGATTAAAAAATCTTGCACAGTTTCACAAATTTCATTCTTAATAATGGACAGTGTACTACTTAAGGAAACAGCTTGCAAATCTACTTAAAACTTTTTCAGGAAGCTGCTTGCAAAGGTATTTATAGGCTATTTGTGCATTTTCAGGAAGTGGTAAGAGTATTTAATTTATATTCACAATTCAGTGTGTGCATAACAGTATTTGATCCTTACATTACTGCGATAATACCATACACATGATTTTGTTGAGATAAAAGTGTTTGCATGTTGTTAACAATTTTCATTTTTTATTGACTTAAATACTGAGGAAAACCAAATAAAATCTCACGAAAATGATTTCCTTAGATTCTGTCCGGAAGTCATTTTCCAGATTGGTCGTCAGTGGCCCGCTTGGATTGATTGAGAGCAAATTAACGTGGAATTAAATAATTTATGTTTTAGAATAGAAAGGACATGAAGTATGTCTGTCTCTAAGACAAATTTGCTGTACACTTTCAATACAATATTCTACTATAATTACTGAAAACGTGAAAAGGTTTTCTCAAACAATCTTAACTTTGAGCAAACGTACGTCATATTCGATTATCATCTTTTGTTCTTAACAGTTTCAGCCTAAACTATTACTCCATACGTATACTATAATTGGACGAGGCTATACACACAACGAAAAAATTGTAAATGGAAGCTATCATCATTGTCTCTTTAACTTTTTTTTTTTTAATTAAAATTTTTGGTTACGACAAATTTAGTACTCTCCACAAGTACTATGGTTTGAATCATCATGAGGAAGAAGAAGTGATGGCTTATGTGGATACGTTGCTGAATTTGGAATTGCCAGAGAAAAAGAGGAAGGTTAATCATGGAGAGATTGTTAGCCTCTGCAGTGAGTTCCTCACCGCTGGCACAGATACTACGTCCACCTCATTACAATGGATTATGGCCAACTTGGTCAAATACCCTTCTATTCAGGAAAAACTATACCAAGAAATATCTGAGGTAGTAGTGCATATATAGAGGGAATCCGAAGCCAAAGGGATCAGTCGTAGATCAGGGGGTAGTAAAAGAGGAAGATTTAGAGAAAATGCCTTACATAAAAGCAGTGATCTTGGAAGGTCTAAGGCGGCACCCGCCCGGTCACTTCCTGCAGCCGCACATGGTGACACAGGAAGTGGAACTAAACGGTTATGTCATCCCTAAGGATGCAACAATCAATTTCATGATTGCAGAAATGGGTTGGGACCCACATGTTTGGGAGGATCCCTTGGATTTTAAACCAGATAGGTTTTTATTCGGGGATGGTGGTGATACAGAAGAATTCGATATAACAGGGAGTAGAGAGATCAAGATGATACCCTTTAGTGCTGGGAGAAGAATATGTCCAGCCTATGGTTTGGCTATGCTCCATTTAGAGTACTTTGTGGCTAACTTGATCTGGCATTTTGAATGGACAACTGCGGATGGAGACAATGTGGATCTATCTGAGAAGCTGGAATTCACTGTTACAATGAAGAATCCATTGCGTGCTCGCATCCGTCCAAGAATAAATCAACTTGAATGATCTGCTAATTCTTGTTATGTAATATAGTACGAGTTATTATGTTGTGTATTTGTTTGGTTTTCTTTTCCCATGAAGTTGTTGATGTTTCTCCAATAAGAAAGGATCAGGAAGGGAACTCAACTGTTGAATGGAGTACCTATTTATCCATGAAAAAGGTTTATTAGTAATAAACTTGAGCACATGGAGAATATTCCCTTAAACTGATGATCCAGTGTTTATTAATGATCAGTAAAAAAATATTTCTCTCCAATGATAAATTGCACCTACTGAATATTATTCAGACTTACTTTGTAAAGCTCTCCAAAGAAAATTTCTCAATTAGAGTTTTACATTCTTCTATCAAACGCAGAATGGCAACTTTATTCTTCAACCTGTGGAGTTCCACTTGAGCACTCAAGAGGCAGTTTGCTTTTACTGTTACCTGGAACGAATGGGTAGTGTCACCCTTTGCGATTATACTAAAAGCTTCCCTTATGTTGGGAAGATTCAACAATTTATACAAATACAAATAATTGTTTTTGCCCTATTTGCACAGTATAATTTTCTGACAAATTGAACCTCTCCTTCAAACCATGTAGCTCTGCCACTGTATAGTAGGCTAAGCATAACAGAAGTGGACATGATGAAACACATAAAGAACAAAAAGGAGCAGATTCGATACTAGGGAACCCATTAGGGGTTAAGAAATGAAGAGAATCATACAATGTATTGAAGAATGCATAAAGTTCACAGCAAAATGCACTTGTGGCCTTTTCGTTGCCACATCAGCACACTTTTGTACTGTTTATCTTGTACAAACAGCGAAAACACAAGATTCTGTCCACATTCCTAAATATTCAGCTATTAGTTCAGACAAAGAACAACATAATTATGTCCATATAATTATGCAATCTGTGGATCAGGAGGACAAACATGCATTTTATGATGGATTCTTGAAAATGGCATACTGGCTTTCGTTCAAGTTGCTTCCTACAAGACGAAAAATTCCTTGCCCATCACTTTTTTAGGATCATCGGAAGAAAATCTGTGCTGACTCCAATTCTCGGTTGGACTAGAAAAGTCTTGAGAAGATGTTATTGTTGAAGCAGAAACAATATGATCTCGAAGTTCCTTGATCATTTTATATCTCTCAATCTCATCTCCACAATCCTTTTTCCCTGCTTGAGAAGAGAAGTCTAGTATTCCTCCATTATTATGAAAGTTTGAGATTCCTCTATCCAAAGTGTTCATGTTTTCTTTCTCTCCCGCTGAGAATTCCCACTCTATGCCATCTGAAGTTTCCCTTTCTAAGGAAGCGCTTTGTCTTGGGAATTTCTCCGAGATGGACCTCCTCTCTTTATTCTTATCAGAAACCGAAAATATTGGATCATTCTGTAAAGCAGTGCACCATTGATAGCTCTTGCCATTATCAACCATGTTTAATTCAATGGAATGAAGATCGCTATCAGCTGAATCATCTTTGTCTCCATTCTCTTCCTTAGTGAGTACTTCTCCATCTGCCTTTTCTTTATCTTGGTAATGGTGTGTGCTTGGAAGCGTTTCTCTCAAACGTCTCTCGAGCTCATTGATCGTTTCAAAATTATGCAAATCACCACCTTGTTCATGGCCCTTTTTAGATCTAAAATACCCTTCAAATTCATTCCTTAACTTATCAACAACTGCATTTTTCTCCTCAAATTGATACTTGGCATCTGAAAGCTTCATTTGAACTCTTTCCTCGCGCATCGCATCAGCTAGTTGAAGCATTTTCCGTTCCATTTCCACCTCTTCACAAATTTTAGCAGATTGTCTCTTCAATTCTTCCACCTCAGCTCTATCTTCTCCGAGACCTCTAGCTAATTCTTCACAGACTTGCTCCAATATCTCTCTGGCCTTCTTCTCGTCTTCAAGTTCTTTAACTACTTTCGAAAGAGATGTCTTTGTATCCGCCAATTCTCTACCAAGCTTCTTATTTAATCTCTCAGTTTGGTTCCTCAGCTTCTTCTCTATCTTGAGCTCCCACGCTACGGATGTAATGGCAGTATGAATGTTGTCTTGCTCTTTGATCTTCCAGGACATCTTTTCTTCTTCAAACTTCTTCAAGAGGAGATCAAGGTCACTGTGGTTATATCTGTGTTCGTTTATTAGTTTAGACACCTGATTACACAACCGGTCAAGCTCAGTTTTTATAGATGAGAAAAGGGATAAACATGTAGTTTCCCGCTGTTCGACATGACTCAGAACATGCAACAGCTCTTTAGATGTGGTAAGGCCATTATAGACACCCTTCAACCGTTCTGTTTGTCCGTGATTTTGTGTCTGATCAAGCTGCATATTCATTCTTGTATTAGCTGTATATTTCAATGTAAAGTAGCTAACAGAAAAGGGCAGTGATAGATTGGGAGTTGTTACAAAAAATATTCCACGACAGCAAAAATTCAAAATTACATCATTTCAACACCATATCATGACCTGTCGACTTTGATAGAACCTGAACTAGAACCAAATCATGCCTGTTCATAAATTTTTTGTCCATTTCCTGAGATGAAATTTGAAGTCATTTATAGTAACAAATCTTAATTGGCCTGTTTTACCTCTTTGTTTCATAGCAGACGAAATTATTGGGAAGTTGCAAATAGAGCACTTAAAAAGAGAAGTGAAGTGGAAACTTTGGATAAGGTACACCAACAACTTGGCCTCAATTTCAAGCTAGTTAGGTCAGCTATATGAATTCTGTATATGAATCCTCGCTAATCAAGTCGCTCCAATATTTAAAATCCAATACCTTGGATGAGGTACTGCCACCAAAACACTATATAAAACAGATTACTTAAATATTTTTTCTTCTTCTAAAGCAACCAAGAAATCGGCCTTGATATGTTTTCTTCTTCTATGACTACCCACTTGGGATCTCTAAAGATAAATTAGATAGTAGGTAGTAAGGGAAAAAACCACAATATGTATTCCAAGAAAATTAGCACTCACCTCAGAAAGAGGGGCATGAAAAGGATGCACTGAACCCAATTTGGATGACTTCAAAATTCTTTCTTTAGTAACCGACAATTCTTTGTCTTTATTTGTTTGCATATACTTGTAGTTGGAATTATCTTTCTGCAGAGAAGGTGATCTTAATGAGTTCATTTTCCACTATGGAACTGCAGTTTCTTTTAAGTTGAGTAGCAACTTTTTCTTGAATTTTCTTGGCAAGGGAAATCAACTGTTACAGAGAATTGGGAAATATGTTTATGCTATTGCTAGGAAAGAAATAATGGGGTCTTCAACGTACCCCTTTTAGGCTTTAGCGTATTTCGAAAGAATGATTAGCATGCAAATCAGAGCTATTGTCCTTTTGGTTTCAAACTGCCATATATAATGGGAGTATCTTTAAATGCAATTGTAGCCGTTGCTGCTAGCTTAAATTGGCAAGATTTTATGAAAAACAAGGGCCCCTTTTAACGGCTTAAAATGTTACGGATATTGGCGAGAATTTAGAAAATTTTCACAAAACACCAACATACTGTAATTGGTGTCGGTCGTCCCTCCCCACATCATGTGTCTCCAATATTTATATCAAATTATACTAATTTATTATAATTAAGTTAATACTCTCTCCGTTTCATATTAAATGAGGTGTTTTCCTTTTTTAGTTTATTCCAAAATAAATGACACATTTCTAAATTTGGAAATAATTCAACTTTAAACTCTTTTATTTAACCTATTTACCCTTAATGAGAAGCTTTTATAGCCACATAAAAGTCATGGCCCCACAAACTTTTTACTCCTTAAGCTTTTAAGACCACAAGTTCGTAAAGTCTTCTTCTTTTTTCTTAAACTCCGTACCGATCAAACTACCTCATTTAATATGAAACGGAGGGAGTAGTAAATTATAATGAGAATCTATCTATATTATATTAAAAGAAGGGTAGTATGCATTGTGGTTAAGCCAAGTGACAAGCTAAAATGAAACGGAGCGAATTTGCTCCAGTGTTAATTGCTCCGGTAATATTCAATAGTGGGCTTGATGGTTGCCATGTTAAAAAATAGCCAGATTTACAAGTGGTCATTCAAAAATGGTCACAATTTTAAAAGTAATCGAAATTTAGCCATTTTTCATGTAAAGATAAATCTGAACCAAAATACTTTTCAAAATCCGGAAAAATACTCCAGTATAATATACTGGAATTCCAATAAAATATATTGGAACTCCAGTATATTATACTGGAGTTCCAGCATAAGTATACCGGTGGTGCTCTAATCTCCAGTATATTATACTGAAACTTTCTGCGTGGTGGAGTTCCAACATAATATGCTGGAAGTTCATACACACGTGCACCGATCTCTAGTATATTATGCTGGAAATTTCCGTGTTGCAACAAAATACTAGCTATTTTTTAATGACTTTGCAAACGCTGGCTATTTTTGAATGACCAGTCCGAAAATTGGCTAGCCCGTATGATCACGCCAAACTATGCTTTATAAAAAGGACAAAGCGGTCGCTGCAAATATATTCCGATTAACAAGTCCGGAGTCGAATCCCATAGGGAATTAACCTATCGACCACAACTATTGGACTCACAGAAATTCACGTATTCAATCTTCAGAGATATTTGAGTAACAAATTGGGTGTTTATTAACTAAATATTACGTAACAAAAATGCATTAATTAAGAACTAGCTATAAACGGTTTGTAAGCAAGAATGGGAATGGTCTAAAGTTCTGATTTCCCCTCTTGTCGGAATCTTTTCCGCTATGTTTGTTATAAATTTGCCTAAGTCTTCTCTATCGACCATGAGCACTATGACTGTCGTAACTCTCTCCCGAGTAATTACTACAATATACTAGACATATTCTCCCGAATTATGCTAGCTTGCCTTAGTTACAGCTCACTTAGATCGCACCTAAGATTTCATTATCCCTAATCCCACCTTTAAACCCTTCGTATTGATCCCTCATATACGTTAGTAATGGTGTTGTTCAACAACTACCTACATATACACTCTCTCCCGAGTAATGCATACTAAATAGGCACAGCCAATTGAGGGCCCTTCAATCAACAACAATCACAATATAGTTGAACAAACAGAGAAAATACTATGGCAAATCTATATTAACATATCAAGAAATTCATCCTCCAAGAGGTTCCATCAAAACCCTAGATTAAGAGTTTAGTTACGCATAATCGTTTTCACAATCATAATAGTAGAATTCATCATCAGTGATAAAAACAAGAGGAAGAAAGGTAAAACTCTATGCCGAATCTTCCTCCTTGCCTCTTGCCTATTCTTGCCTTCAACAATCCTTCAAAAACCTTGATACCTTCTTTTTGGGCGATCTGGGCTTCTTATAGGTTAAGGAGAGTCGCCCCCGAACTTATGAATTTACCCCTGAAATAAAATTCCTCGGAGTGACGAGCGCGGCTGCAGTTGGAACGCGGTTGGACCTCGCATAATGCATTCTTCTCTGCCTGTTGTGCGCGGCCTGAGCGCGGCCATGGTTGGCCCACGCTCCTAGAGCTCAGTTGTCTTCCATTTTTTTTCTTCTTTCGCGCGCACTCAACTCCGATTGGCCTTCCTTGCTCCAAATTAACTCCAAACACTCTTTAATGTCCTCATAGTGAGGACTTGCTCCTGCAAAGCATAAAATTCATAATTAAAGCCATTTGTTGTCATTTAACCTTCATATAGCAATAAAGTATAGCTAAGTTGGGGCGTAAATGGTCGCTAAACTACATAAATATAGCCTATTACCAACACCCCACACTTAAACCATTGCTCGTCCCCGAACAATTAATCATACTCTACATAGGGTCATTCACTAAGCAACTTCTCTAACTCATCACACCAAGAACATATCACAAGGATTGAGTCCAGTAGTGTAATATCTTTGCCTCAAGAGTTGAGTCTCACATGCCACGCAATATTCCTAACTTACTCACTTACTCTAACACAAAGGTTAAGATTTACCTTTTCTTCATGAATCAGGTGCACTCACATCGCAAACGAGTGTAGTTCCTCAAGCAATAAAAGTTAAGAACAAGTAGGAACTCAAATAGATAAAATTCACTCACTCTCAGAAAGAACATTCATATGCCATAAAAGATGCACCATAGGCTTGCGCATAGTGTACTACTCTACTAATCGAGCTCATTCAGTATAGGACCAAATAAGACTTTATTTGGTTGTAATGTAGGCTAAGAGACATGTAGGATGCATTTAGATATAATAGTGACTATACCTCCCTAAGCACTTTAATATATATACTTTAACATTTAGAACCCCACACTTTTGTCGAACCATGACTCCACTCTTACATCAATATATATTAACTCACTGCTTCTTTAGGAACACTTAATCAAGAGCCACTACTTATCAAAGAATATTTTTTCACAACAATATAACTACGGTTTTTTTCTTTTCCCATTCAAGTGGCTCTTACTTATTCAAAACCGTGCACTTTTCTTCTGATTTCATTAGTTCCACTCAAAAGCCAAACCAACCACCTCACACTTTATCTTTTACAAGTTCATCACAATTCAAATGCTCATGGGAGGTGAAAAGGTTCAAACAGCTGGTTCATTCAAACAATTGGGTAAGGCTTGTAATGTGGTTGCCAAGGAAACAGGATTACAGGATCAAAGGGATTAACTATGATACATAACAATTAGGCGGGTAAAATATACATATCTGGTTCAACAAAGAAACGCCTATATCACTTCCAAGACTGAACAAAACTACTATTTCGCTTTGCAAACATACATGGCAAGTTCTATGCATCAAATGCAGTGCACAGAATACAACAAATCTCATACACACAGGCACATGACTCACTCCAGATTGGATCATCGAAACACTCTCGTCTGGGTACTTAAGCCAAGTTAAGAACATACAATTTAAGGCACTCTAACAAGAATCAACAACTGAGACTAAGTGTTACACTAAAGTGTCTACTGTATTCAAGGCGTAACAATGTTAAGAGATCCTCTTTCCATCTCAGCTCATAGCTCATAGGTACCTAAAAAATAAAAATAAAACTAACTACACCCGGTTCAAATAAAAAACCCTTGGAAAAGAACCGCGGTCCAAAGAAAACCAAGGGGGAATTGATACATTACCTAAAAAAAATCATTTTTTATATCGACTTAGACCCTCAAGAAACCCGTCGAGTGATATCCATCATCGGGACAAGTCGAATCATACAGTTAGACAACTAACTAAAGACCAAAATCAAGCTATGTTCCTATATATATATACAACATACAAACAAAGTATCCCCCACCCCACACTTAAAAAGATGTTATGTCCCCATGTCATACAAAATAAAGAAATGCGAGGTAAAGGAACTTCCCTAACAGATCAGTCTTGATCAGAGACAGTGCCAGGGTCAAGGTGACACGCCCGCCCCAACGCACGCAACCAGCCCATGATTTTCTTCTCTGATTTAGCATTTTGGGTGGCTAAGGCATCAACTCTAGTCCCTAAGTGTGTGATAGTGTACACAGACCTACCATTTTATGCTCTAAGGCTGCTAACCGAGTAACCCAACTGACCCCAGACGGTCCTGCGGCTTCCACAACAAGCTCATGGGTGGGTGACTCAGCTCCCACTTCGTCCTGCTCATCATCTCCCTCCTCAGGTGTATCAGAGTCATCACTATTAACACCTCCATGTGCCACAGGGTCCTTCCCAATAGTCACCTTATCTGCTCGAAACTTTGCTTCTTTTTGCTCTTTTCCATCAACGCTCAAGTTCTTCGGCACCCATGCTGCCCGGCATAACCTAGTGACTAGGGAAGGGAAGAAGAAACCATACCACTTCAGCGGACAACGAGTGAACATCTTTTCGTGAATAATCTTGGCCATGTCAAAATTGTGGTCCTTCATGAAACACCAAATCAATGCAGCTCGAGGACCATTCACTTTAGTGGTGTTGGGGGATGGGAGCAGACAACTATTGATGACATACAGCCAACACTTCCCTTCAAAGGTTAGTGCCACCGAATGAGACTGATGCCCATGTATAATCCACACAACTTCCTTTTTGGGCACACATATTGTTTCAAAGAACAAATCCCACGTGGTGAATCGTCTGCCATAGGCTTTATAGTAGTGCTCTACCCCAAGTGTGGGCAACCAGTATGCTATCCGAATGGCCTCAACAGAGGCGTCCACATTCTTCTTGTGCACTGTGCACACCGTTCACATGTTCTGTAAGGTTCGCATAAAATTCTCACACAACCATCAAATTAGCTTCATCCGGTTCTTCAAAGAAAATATACAGCCCGCACCGGACCAACTCATTGTACATGTTGGGACAGTCATATT